TTCCTCTCTCCCTCTCTCTCTCTCTTTGAAGTTCAGGCTCTGATCTTTCTGCTTTTAGGCCGCTTCTCCTCGCCACTCCCGCGAGGTCTGGCAGGCCTTGTTCGAGAAGCTGCCGAAATGGGACGTCCGGGTCTTGGTCTTCCACCGCTACTACCCGGCCTGGCTGCTCTCGCTCTACGGCGAGTACCAGAGGCCCTCAACCGCACGCCACCACCTTGCCCGCTCCGCTTCTGCCTCTTGAACTTCCCGCAGGGATTACATGGTGGACACAGCCCACAACCCGATGTCTTTGCTGGAGTTCGCCCCTTGGCAACCAAAATCCGCTGCTGACACGCAGTTGTAGCAAGTGCACGCCCAGCACGATACTCGCTGCGAGATGTTGCGAGCTGTGGGTGCACCTTGCAGCGGGTCTCGGCACAGCAACTCTCGGTGCCGGAAACGGTCTACTCCTCGAACGCTCCGCCTTCGCAGCTCTCGCTGAGGCATTGGAGGGCCCTGGTGCTCAGCTCTCACCACGGCGGACGCTCGAACGCATCCAGGACGCGCTCAGCGTCTGCAAGGGCGGCGAGACGGCACAGTGCAGTGTGCAAGGCCAGAGGAGCTGTGCCTTCAGACTTCCTGGCTTGTTCTGGCTTTCATCTGAGACCACAGGTGCTTCGTATGATCTCTTCCAGCACCAAGGCACCGTCTCGAACACACGTCAGCGCCAACTGCACCAAAGTCTAATCATCGGATTTTTTGAGTTTTCTGTAAGGCTACGATCAGTATGAGTACGTCGTCCTCAACGTGACCATGGATCTCCATGGCCAAGAATTTCTTGCAGCGGTACGCTTAGTCGGAGAGAGGGTGAGAGATTGAGACGGGCAACGGTGTGCGGAAGGCACGTAAGTAGCGGCGTAGGGCTGTGGGGCTGCCCACGGCTCCATGGCACTCGGGTTTCATGTGTCATTCTGCGGCCTAATGTGCGCAGTAAGGCTAACCGGAGCCTTTGGCAGACGTGTCCACACCGCAGCTTCATCCATGCCTCTCCGGCAAACCTCACACTGGCCCCGGCCCCAGGTGTTGGGCCATTGGGCTTCGACATGCGACTGTTCGGCTGTTCGGAATCGGCCAGGCTGTGGACATCGTCCGCCTGCTGAAAAACTCGCATCAAGCGCGGGGCTGCACCTCTGAGTTCCAGCTCTCGGCCTCGAATCGCGAAGTGCTGGAGCTGGCGAACAAGGAGCCTCAAAAGTAGACTCTCTGTAAAACAGGTACCTCTTCGTTTGCCCTTGCCCGCAAACGCCTTGAGGATGTCTTGCCCGTTGCCTGCATGGACATTGGAAATCTCCTCGCGGATGACTCCGCCAGGTGGCGGGAGAGGGCGCCCCAAACCGAGCGCTTGGAGCGCAGCTTCGCGCAGCTTCGCGCAGTGCAGTCGGATGCCTTTTGCCAGGTGGTTCGAGAACGCTCATGTCACGCCGCCGACCTACCACAAGGATTCGCAGTTCTGCCAGATTCAGCAGCAGGCGCTGAAGCCGGAGCACTGGAAAGTGCTGCGAGGCTGAAGAGAGCAGAGAGAGAGAGAGAGAGAGAGAGAGAGAGAGAGAGAGAAGAAGAAGAAGAAGAAGAAGAAGAAGAAGAAGAAGAAGACGAAGAAGAAGAAGAAGACGAAGAAGACGAAGAAGAAGAAGAAGAGAAGAGAGGAGGCCCCATGCTTGGGATGTGACTCTAAGGATGCACGCTCTCGCCGGCTGCCGTTCGGAGACGGCGTCGGAGGAGACCGAAGGCTCCGAGCCGAACGCGAAAGGCTCCGGGGGCGCGGGCCGAGAGAAGCGAGAGAAGCGCGAGGGCCTTTGGAGCATGAAGTCCACCAAGTCCAGCAAGTCCAGCGGCATGGCCGACCTGGGCGACGTGGGCATGCTCTCCCAACGGGGGACTCACTTGACTTTGGAGGCAGCGGAGCCTCAGGATGCTGAGGCGGACCCCGGCCGGAGCTTCTTCGTTCAAAGCCCCCAAGTCCCGGTGCGATCTGCGTTGCCAGCTTTGGATCTGTCTGGAGTGACACCAACAGCTGGAGCTGGAGTGGACTTCTCCGAGCGTGGCTCCAGCCTGCCAGCCCTGCCGACGAAGCGGCTCTTCGGGGATGAGGCTCCTGCCGCTCCCGCCGCTCCCGCCGCTGAGGAGAGCTTCGCCGGTGTGGGCGCCGCGCCGGTGGGTGGTCTTGGAGGTTTGTTCGGTTTGCCCTTGGAGACGAGCCAGCTACAGCTCAGCTCCGAGCCGGTGGTGGTGCTCCCGCAGGCCAAAGGCCTCAACGACTACGACTCCGACTCCCAAAAGGCCGCGCCGAGGGGCGGACTGGCCAAAAGCGCAGGTACTGCCTTTCCCCACAAAGGGAAACAGAAGCAGAAGGCTACCCTTCCCCAGCATGGCCAGGGCCGTGCGCAGGCCCACGCCGGCGCCCACGCCGGCGCCCACGGCGGCGCCCACGGCGGCCTTCAGAAGCCCAAGAAGGCCTTTGAGGACGGCAGCTCTGCCTCGGCGGCTTTTCCAAAAGTGGTTCTTCCTCCCATCTCCAAAGGATCGGGCGCCCCTTCGGAGACGTTGCTGGATCATTTGGAGGGCCTTCCCAGCAAGAAGCCCGGAGTCCCGGGGATGGCAGGCGTCTTCAGCGACGAGCAGGCGCGCCCGATCCTGCGAGCGAAGAGCGCGGGTACCGGCAAAAGCCAGGAGGAGTAAGGACAGCTGCTGAGCTCGTGGCAGCACGAGCTTCGCTTGTTTTGACTTATTTTTGCTTCAGATTAAAGAATGAAGCACTATTCCGACTTCTCGGGCTTCGCTCTGTGCTTCTCCAAACGGAGAAGACAAAGTGTTTGAGACAGACGCAGAAGCTTCCAAAACAAGTCCTCGAGTTGGCTGCTAGAGCGTATGTGAAAAGTTGGGCCAGTCCTTGACGTTGAGCTGCAAGGCTCAAGCTTGAAAGCCACGTGGGGGGAAGCAGCGCAGGAAGCCGCTGAGCACCTGAGCTTTAAAGTGGCGTCGGGTCGGCAAAGATGACGGAGATGGACGGGATCATCCGCGAGCATGAGGCAGCAGTGCAGCCGCTCTTCGATCGATGCTCTTCGCTACTTCGGAGCCCCGAGGTGTACTTTGCGACGCTCGCAGAGCAGGCGGAGCGCTACGACGAAATGGCAGAGCACATGCGAGCGGTGGGGCGCCCCAGGAGGGTGAAAATACCAAAAACGGGGCTGCGCAGTCTCTGAAATCTCTCTTCGATCAGGCTGCGCTGTTCGAGCAAGAGCTGGATGCAGAGGCATAGAGAAGCCTAGTGACTGTGCAAAGTTACACTCACCTGCTCCCTCTCTCTCTCTCTCTCTCCCTCTATCTCTCTTCTGTCTCTCTCTCTCTCTCTCTCCCTCCCTCTCTCTCTCTTTTTGAGGGAGGACCTGGGCGCAGGAGCGGAATTTGCTCGCGGTGGCCTTCAAGCAAGCGGCTCCCGGCCAAGCCTCGGCAGAGCGAAGAAGCGCACGCTTTCTCACCCGCCGGGGAGGGGAACGCTTTATCTCTCCCCTTTGAGGTGGGTCAGCGCCGAGTTGCTTGGCGCATCGTTTGTGCAGCCGAGCAGGAGGAACAGGCGCGCGGACGGAGCCACTGCTCGCCAATTTTTCAGCTGCCGCCAGCTGCCAGCTGCCTCTCTGCGTTCATTGCCGCTTCGGGGTTCCAGGCCAAAGGCAACCACATGACGACGGCCAGCGCTCGGGGCTACCGGAAGAAGGCGCCGGAGCGCGGGGGAGGCACCCATGAAAACTGGAGGCACGCTGGAACCCACCGAGGCATCGTACTCTAATGGCCTCCCTTACCGGGCTCAGGAGATGGCTCGGCTGCCTCTCGGCATCTCCGTCGTGCTCGACGATGGTGTGCGCACATCATCATTCATTAGTGTCGGAATGTAACCCAGTTGTCAGTGCCCGCCCTCAGCACTGCAGCCATCCATGAGGGCTTCAGTCTGCCGAGAATCTCTCGATCACGTCCGCCTCGGGCTCCCTTGACCTTGACCCCAGCTGCTGTGGTGTTGGGGATGTCCCAACTCCTCTTCATTGCAACATCACCTGCCTTTCCAGTGGTGTATGGTGCGAGATGCAGCTCCCGGGTAACGACGTTATCCCAGGACACCAGTACTTTGCCTCCAAGAGCATAAGCAGGATGTAGCCATAGAAGATAACGGAGTTGCTTCAGCATAGCCTAATCTAAAGATTGAGTTCGCCTTGAGAGCCTGACACCCTTGCCGCTTAAGCTCCTCCCTCATCTACCAAAAAGCCAGACAAAAACACCGGCAGAAAAGTCGAAGTCGTGCGCCAACTCTGGTGATGCTCGTCGGCTCTTGACGCCGGCGGCCCGAGTGGAGCCGCTGTGCTCCGCTCAGAGCATCTCGCAGCTTCTCCGGCCGAGCCTGCAGAGGCTCTTCCATCCTGCCCCGCAACCGCCTTCTGTTCTGTGTCACTGCATCTTGCCACCTCCCCCAAAAGCATCTGAGTTTCTGCGCTCGCGGGCACCCCTGCCACGGCTGGCGGGCCTTCACTGCCCGGGGCGGCTGGCATGGCGAAGCTCCGGCGGCATGTGATGCGCCGCCACCATCCCCGATGCCGAACCCCTTCGAAAAGTCTTGACAAGAACGTGCGTGGTTTACCCACGCCTTCGTCGTGTCTTTCTGTCGTCGGCTCCATGCCCGCGGGTTCGGTAGCTTCTCGATACGCCAAGCTTGAGCTGAGAGGGGATTGCATTCTTGTGCGATTCTGGGCCATTTCGAGAGCCACTTGCCTGCTGACATCACATACCGAAGGTAGGCTGCTGGATGGGCCTTTGTCAGCGGATCGGCAGTCATCGCTCGAGTGTCGATCCACCTGTGGTGCGCCGCATCGTAAACGCTCCAAGACAGGAATCCGCATCGACTCCGCTCTCCAGGCCTGGCCTTCGGCCGCCAAAGTCCACAGCTTTAGCTCTTCCAGGCTGCAGCGGCGCAGCGGCGCAGCGGCTCCACACCGCTAAGGCGCTGTAAAGTGGTCTACGAAACCCTGTCCTCCTTGACTACTCACGTTTTGCAACTGTAAAGGTCACAAAGAACCCGGATCCCTTGATCATTCTTTCAGACCTTGGTTTTGATCCCGGCCTGGTCCTGATGAACGGTTCGCCTTCAGGCCTAAAATTTGAGGAAGATCAGGTCCTGCTTGGGCTGCTCCGAAAATCTTCCTCGGAGTTCTCGATCCAAAGCTGATCTCGTAAGTTAAGTTGCCCCATGCCGCATCGGTCACAACCGAGACCCGCAGGTCTTTCCAATCGATTGGCATCACACGGATGCCCAATTTACTTTGCTGGATGGCCTCGTCGATGATCTTGTTGCACTCGATGAGGTCGGATACCTCGGGCTGCGGGAAGCATCGGGGCAGCAAGCATCGCAACGGGTCTCCCTGGCCAACCAAGATAGTACACCTAGCTGGCTTCTAAGTTGTTCCACTTCTTCCGCTGTACATCGCGAAAGCCTTTGCTGCGTCCTCTTCCGGGGAATGGTAACTTTCCCGGCCTTCTCCTTGACATAGAACTCCTGGATAAGCATAGAGCCGTCCGGCTGTAAGGAGATATCCTTCCCAGTGAAGCAACCCTTCTCCTTTTGGTTCGTCCCGAGCTTGTGCTTGGCATCCGCCTTTCTGATTCTTCTTGCCGTGGAGGAAGACGCACGGATCAGACCGACTTGTCTGATATAACAGTTCCTTAAGTCTCCGGCTCAGGTGCTCTTGCCAAGGTAGGGCCGTCTGTGAACCCTCAGCAGGTCTTGAGCAGCATAAGAATCTGGTCCTTGTGCATTCCGGGGATCCCCTCCTGCGGCCGTCGGCAGCAGAGCTCGTTGTTAATCTAGTCTCCGGAGTGAAAGGCCTACATAAAGTCCAAAAATCCAGGACACCATCGCATGCCAGGACCTGGGCCGCGAAGATATCGGAGTCCCGGCTTGCCTGTGGAGTCGTGCTCTCCATGTCCAGCGCTGCTTTTTTGGGAGGAGCCTTTCATGACATGTTTCGTCTTTGCCGGCCTGTGCTGGCGATCTGAAAGCCTTCGGACTGGGCCTTGGCGATGTCCGAGGGCTCCAACGGCTTCTTCGTCAAAACATAGCGTGACTACATCACGTTCTCAGGTTTCGTCCTTCAGATCTCCTGCGAGGAGAGGATCTTGTAGGCGCTCGTCTCCAAATTGTTGTTCACCTCCTTGAGAATAGCTCGATCAACTCGAGCTCCATCATCGCCCTTGAAGTCCTTTAATCGAGCTTCCTTCTTCCGGCGTTTCGCCAGCGTAGTATGCATAGTCAAGCTCATGTGGTACATCTCCAGGAGCTCGACGTGGCTTCGTTTTTCTCGAGGTTCTTCGGCAGCGAGCCTGTGCAAGTCCTCGCATCCATCCGGAAAGCGACAGGGTCTCTTCTTCCGTTGCCGGTCTGCTCCGCTCGGGGGCTGCCTTGACTAGGCCGCCTTGATAGGCAATCCACACTGCATTCGGCAAGGAAGGTATCACCGCTGCCCGGGTCCATGCCAGTAAGCATATCTCTTCTTCTTCTGCGCCGCGTCTCCAAAAGCAGATCACCTGGCCGACCTTGATATTTTGGTGCGTTCTCCTTCCAGCCAAGGCGGCAGTTCGGAGAGCCTGGTCACAGTCCGCCTCGTGAAACACGGTTGCAGTTGCCTTCCTCATTCGCATGGCGCGGTTGGCGTCGGTGTCATCCGGCGGTTCCTTGTCATGCACGTGACATCCACCAACTCCTTCCCTTCCTGGAGGTTATCGCATCCGCAGGTGGCCATCGCCTTGTAGAGAATGTCCTGGAAGATTCCACCGGCACGTTCGGTGAGACCTCGCTGCATTGGGGTCTCAAGAGGAGCCGGCACGACCTCGGAGCCGTCAGCAGCTTTGAATTCTCCAACAAGATCCATCATTAACCGTTAACCTTCTTGGTGGCCCGAAGAATCGGACCCATTGCCTGTGTGGGCGCTGCGTGTTTCAGCGGCCGTCGCTGCTGCCATGGGAACCAACAATTGAATTGAAAAATGCGAATGCCAATCTATCATATTGAGTGCTGGCACGGTCTGGTTCCTGTGGTTCCGAAGACTGTGTCAACCCCAACCAGGTCATTTATAAACAAGTCTGCACGAGGAGGGGCTCCTTGACGGGCCTGGGCAGGTACAGTTTTAAGCTTCACATACTGAACACGTCAGGTCCTTGGCGATTTCGACGGCTTCTGGACTGACCCAGCTGTGGCGGAGGGATTCTTCAGGATGCCCTCGTGGGCCCTCATCACCAGTCTCTGCAGGGTCACTCGGCTGAGTCCGGGAAAATGGTTTGACCTCTTCTCCCGCCGGCCGTCCAGCCGCTGCCGGTAGTGGCGGAGGCCGCTCGATATCAGGAAGCTCCTGTCATTTTGATCTCATCTTCCAAGCATTGCAACGATCATCTCCTTCACGAATCCAGCTTGATCTCCATGCAAAACCGCTATGTTCCTCCTCGGGGCTTGGTGCCGGTAGGCTATCGGTGCTGTGGGCCACCACCGCCACCGTACCATCATGAAGGGTGTACTTTCCTGCGGTTGCCGCCATCGCATTGGTCACGCCGTAGTTGCCCGGAATGGTCTTCTCGTGCTCTTCGATCGCTGCCTCTTCGTGAAAGATCTTCCCGGCGGTCACATCGGGGTACTTCAGGGTTCTCTGCTCGGTCACATCGAAGTACATGGCATCATGTTGCCGGTTCGCAGTGACAATCGCTTCGTATTCACTTGGAACTGGTCAGGCCTCCTGTGGATCGTGTTGGCATAGGCCTTGATCGCCAGTCGGACGGAAACCTTTGGGCTGAGTACCAGGACGCTGAGGTTCCATACGGGACGCCATGCTAGCCATGTTGGTCAAAACGATAGACCTCTGATGCCTTTAGGCTAAAATTCTACGACCATCTCGCCCCCCATCGAGTCCTTGATCGTAACCATCTCGCCCTCCACCGCGTCCTTGATCGTGACCATCTCGCCCTCCATCGCGTTCTTGATTGTCACCATCTCGCTTGAAGTGCTCTAACATCCTGCTTTTGTGAACTATGAAATAACAGGTTGTTGGATGATCACCAGGCCGGGCGAGCATGCTTCAGGTAACTTCAAACAGGTCATCAAAGAATGCTGTGCATTGGCTTGCGCCAGGCTCTGTTCAAGGCGGATTGAAAGGCACTGCCCTGTAGCCACTGATCGCGGCAAACCTTTGTCGCGTCTGAGCCGCTCTCGTTGAAATCCTGACCGCTAAGCTTCAAGATCTCGGTGTGCGCCTTTGTTTGCTAAGACTCTTCTTGTAGTCTCTCGCTGCTCGATCTTTTAACTCACCAAGTTGCCCGACTCTGTTGACCAAGCAGTCTTGCAGATCGTTCCGGATCTGCTCGGCCCTCCTTAGGCTCGATATCATATGCCGCTGGCTACTCACGCAGAGCTTCACTTCCGGCGGTTGTCCACTTCGACCATTCCTGGTTCCAAGTCCAACTGCACCTCCCACTCTTCCTCGTCGATCTCATCCTCCGGCTGGGTGTCCGAGGCCCTAAGAGTTTCTGCAAGATCTTGCGTAACTCCTCACTTCATTGGTGTTGGTTCACCTCCAAAAGCTTCCGCAAGTTGAAATAGAGGTGGAGAAAACCATGATGTCATCTAGCACTTGAATGTCTCCTTGAGTTCGCTAACTTTCCCAATCATCGTGGGGTGTAGGCAATGAGCGTTGTACGTGATCCTGCCCAATCTAGTACTTTTTTCTCTCCCTCACGAAGTTCAGTCCATCGTAGCGCCAGCCAGCCGCAATCAATTTTTACTTGGACGCACAACCATCAGCAATTAAAGTGAAGCCAACCATGAGTGCAATCAGCCTTTGAGAATGTGTGGGCGCGCGTTTCGCTTCTGCCTAATCCCTCTCAGATCGAAGCGGAGCTCACCAGCCTGTGCCAGACCATCTTGGCCACCTCCCCGGTCTCCAGTCTCTGCTCTCTTTCGCCTGCTCTTTGGGTAGCTCCGAGTGAGGCCTTACTGACCGACAAGTTGATCCCGGGTGCCACGACAGCAGAGGCCAAGGCGCCAACTGCCCGCACGCGGTCGGCGCAGCGGCGCAGCGGGCGGCTGAGACGCGAGGTGTCCTACTACAAGGCACAAGGCGACTACTACCGGTGCGCCCGGATGCAATGAACCCGGACCCTTAGACACTCCGTCCTTACTCTCGAGTGAGGTACATGGCTGAAATCAGTGACGACATGGACCGGACAAGAGCCACCACAGCAGCAAAAGCGGCTTACGAGGCCGAACGGGGGCACAGGTCCTTCTCTTTACCACTTGGAGATCTCGTGTCTGCACGGAGGATGGCACGAAGGTGGCTGAGACTTCACTGAAGGTGACTAGCCCCTTTCGCTTAGGCCTCGCGAGGGGCCCAGCCTGAATACGAAGAGAAGCTGATGCGGGCCTATTGCAAGCAGCAGGAACTGTCCTTGTAACATCTCTCAGGCACTGAACCATGCAGTTTTCTACTACGAGGCAAGTTAAACATTTGAGATTCTCTCGCAGTTGTTGCAGCACGATGCAAGTTCTCCTTGTGCTGCCGTACTGCTGTTCATGACTCGGCCAGACTCGGCTGCATATTTGGCTCAAGTTAAGCTGGGCGTGCGGAACACGCAAGTGCACCAGACCTCGAGATGACACAAGTCTGTCTCATGAGAAATGCAAAGGATGGTTGACAGGAAAATAATCATCAGAGCACTCCATCGATGATCCCTGAGGCCTGGTCACAGGCCGAGTGCAGACCGCGGGAAAGCAGGCAGAGTGCAGTGCAGTGCAACAGTGTGCACCGATGTTGCAGGGGATGGAAGAAAGATGTCAGAGGGTGCAAAGTGCGGCATTGCCGAGGTGCCAGGGCCGGTATGCAGAGCAGCAATTCTTTGCCCTGTTCTGGCCAGGACAGAGACAATAGAGTTGGATGGCTCCGCTGTCCGCGTCTTTGTCAACTTGGATGTCACATCTCCCGGCCTCCTCAAATCCTTCCTTCGAAAGGCCGAAGCACTTCTTGTTGAAAGGCATGACGACTCTTTTCCTTGGTGTGTTAGGGAGACGGTGTTCAAAGGTGGGGTCGGTGGCACTGGTGGCTGTCTTCGCTGTGCGGCGCCGGACCCGCGTGGAGGAAGGGAATCCTTTCTCCCGGCGGGCACCTGGCACAGAGCTCAGGAGGCACAGGCCAAGGCCGAGGCAGCCCAGCTCCCACAACCTTCTTCACCATGCCACAACAGCATCGTCCGTGGTACAGTCTGCGCAAGTGTGCCAGGGTTAGTGGCATAGCCGTGCTGGAAAGCATAAGTCCAGTGTCGCCAGGCTGTAGGCATCTCGCGAGCAGCAGACGCGAGGGAAACCGTAGGCAGATGTCGCCTGTCGTCTGTGCCTCGGCGTCGTGAGACGGGTGCTTTGAGCCGAGGCGTGTCGCTGGCGGAGCTTCGAGGCCGGGTCCACGGCCTCAAAATAAGGGGGGCGGCTTGCGCTCCTGCTTTCCGGCATTTCCGCCCCTCGAGGCATGCAGCGCGGCGGTCGCGGCTGCTTCCAGTTTCAGACGGAGACGACCTCCGAGGTCGCCGCCGACGCCCTGCTGGCGCTCCTCTACGCCAAGCACGCGGGCCCGAGGCGCGCGCGGAAAGCCGAGCCAAAAGCGATGCGCGCCAAGAATGCAGAGACTCTGTGCCGTCCATATGCCGCTCGCGCTCGCGTCCGATCGCAGGAACTACTTGATCTCTTCGGCGACAGAACGAGAGAGGCAGCAGTGCTTCCGGGAGCTGCTTTGCCTCGACGAGTCTAAGAAGACGATCTGGCTCTCCGGCACCGATTTGGAGCCCCAGAAACTCTTTGCAAAGCCCAAAGCCCGGCCCGCGGCGGCGCCGAAGCGGAGGGAAAAGGGAGCGATCGTGACCCCCGCGACTGCATGTGGCTGCGTGGCTTCGCTCCCTCGACTTAACTGGAGGTCATGAATGCTCCAACGGAGGCTGTCCGAATCGGGCGCAAGGCGGGTGCAGAAGCATGCAGAGCCGCTTCGAGGATACTTCGTGGGCGCAGGCTTTCGAGGATGCAGTGCGCGAGATCGACAACCTTGGCGAAGACGGCGCCAAGGCCTCCACACCACTGCCGGCGCCTTGAGCCGCTGAGCTGTCGCTGTCAGGAGTCTGCGCTGGTGATGCAGCTGCTGCGTGACAACATCACCCTTTGGACAGCGTGTCGCTGTTCACTCTGTCTCCTGAAAGTCCCTCTGTCCTTTGGCCCAAAACAGGACCTCGGATCCGAGTGGCTGATGCTGCCGGCTGCGAATTCAGAGCTTGCCACCAAAACTGCCAGACTGCGGCCAGGGTCTTGCGGGGTTTAGGCGGAAGGTTTGCGTCCTTGCATTTCGGGCCTTGCCGTGTGTGGTTTCCTTCTGCATTTGGGCTCGAGTCGTTGGGCGAAGCTGACATGGCTCGGGCGGCCGGGCGGAAGGCTGGGGTTGGCCACCTTGTTCTGGCCTTTCCAAAGCTGAGACACGGTGAGGTGAGCGGCGCTCAGTGGAAAGTCAAGGAGGAGGCGAAGAGTGTGCAGGAAAAGCCGTGCCCCCCCTCCCCCCCCCCACAGCCTCTTCACTGTCAGGCGGCTTGGGGTTGGGGCCCCAAGGACGGCCCGGAGAACCCTCAGTGTGCTCCTCGGCCCTTTGCGACGGACAAACGTTCGCTGCTGTGCCTTGCTGATGCGTTCGCAGGCGGCAGCGTGTGCAGGAGGTGTGCTGCGCGCTCCCGCTCTTTTGAGGGCCCTCAGATCTGTTGGGTTCTCGCATATTTCTCCACGGAGGATCGATGTGTGGGTCTCATCACCGAATGGTCGGCACCATAGCGCAAGATCTTCAAAAAGCGGCTGTCGGCTGATGTCGGCTGGGACCTGCCTTAAAGCAGGCGTGGCTACATGGGTTGGATCGCGCCGATCGCGCCTTTTTCCATTGACCATGACCAGGTCGCAGGGCATGTCAAGGCAGTGGGGAACTACGAAGTAGCCAGAGCTTCGAGACGAGGCCTCCAAGCACTGGGGTTTGATCTACGTCACCAAGCAAGACCTGGCGGCCAGGGCCCAAGGTCGTTTGCTGCGCATGGCTGCTGCAGGGGCGGCGCTTCGCTTTCTTTGCAGGTCTTGCCTGGCGCCCACCTGCCATGGATGCGGGCAGGGCGTGTGGTCGACTTTCTCGTCCTGCCCCTAACTGTTGCCATTCGCTGTTCAAACTCTTCTCTCATGTCACTGCAGGTCTACTCAGATGGGGATGGCCTGGGCGCAGAAGATGCCAGAGTGCCCAGCGGGAGTTAATGTTCACTTCTTAATAATAACCCCCCCCTCCCCCCCCGGTCGATTGATTTCACTGCTCGGGGGCGGGATTGATTATAACGGGGGGGGGGCGGGCGGCCGGGATGGATTGATTTTAAGCAAGCCCAAGAGAGACACCTCTACCCAAAAAAAAGTTGGATTTCCGGGGCGGGATTTGTAATTGCGTAGGGTTTATTATTACGTTCCGGGGGTTGGAATTCATAATTACGGGGGGGATTATAGAAATGAAGTCAACATTACAAAGAAGCACTTTCGATGCAATCGATTCCAAACGGTTTGTGAGGGCTGCCGACCTGCTCCTTCTCTCAGCTCTCCTCTGTCCCGAAACTCACGCAGCTGCCGATTTTCAAGAGGGATCTTGAAGTCTGAACTCGTCATGACTCGCCCTCGCGGGGTTTGGCGAGAGCACTGGGTAACATGTTGAAGTCAGCGCATGAGGGCCTGCCCAGGGCTTGAAGTATTGGAGCTTACAACGCCGACCTGTCGCAGAGGACCCGGCCCGCGGCGGGGGTGGGAGGGGCGGCATGGGCTCAGGTGCGTGCCCTTTCTCCGCTGCCGCCGTCTCGGCGTCATTCCTCGGTTTCTCGGAGCTCCGCAGCTTCGCTCAGCTTCGCTCAAGGCGGGTGACGCTGACCCACGCCGAGGTGCGACTGAGGACGAGGGGAGAGAGCGGAGGTGCGCTCGGCCACCGCTTTCCCGCAGGCCCGCGCGCTCTTGAAGGGCCGACCAGAGCGGTCAGAGTGCCCTCCACCGCAGACGGCGGAAGTCCGAGCTCTCTGCAGCTCTGCAGCTCACTTCGCAGGTACCTCACAGACTCCGAGCAGTACCCGAATTTGATGCGGGACTTAGGTCGGGGCTCTGCGGCGATTCCGCCGCGCATGCTTGTCTGACGAAGGTGTCCTGGTGAGAAAATACTCCTGGCCTCTGCCCTTTGCCACCTCTGCTCGCTTGAAAGAGCCGTGGTGCGGCGGCGCAGTGGTCCCCTTGGACACTGTCAGGTTACCCTGGAGCTCTGGGGGCACATGGAGGCGGGAAAGGGACAATTTTGTTGCTTCTGAAGCGGTTTTGGTGAGTGGTTGCCCAGGATGTAGCAGCAGCGGCTCTGGAGTACTGCAGCTCCGCAGGTCCTGGGCTTACTGGGCTCAGGTGGGGTCGGCTCCAGAGCTCCGGCGCTCTTGGCAGGTGGGGCAGAGCACCGGCGGCTGCAACTCCTGCTGCCCGAGGACAAGATTGCCCAGGCGCATGTCCAGAGCTCAAGGTGTGGTCTGTGCGATTCTGAGCCTTGAGGTTGAGGATTTGCCCGGGAACCCGAAGGTTTCCACCCACACGGTGGTGCAGACGCCCGGATCCCGGCCCCTCGCACCGAGAGCCCCCGGACTTTTTGTGGCTCCCCCCAAGCTTCGCAGAGGCCGGTGCCCTGCAGAAGCTCGCGCCTCGCGGAAACGCAGCCGTGCAGACGCAGCCCCATCACTTCTTTGCCAGGCCTCGTGATGGAATCCTCTGCCGAGGACTGTCGCAAGGCAGAGTCGAATGCAGCTCCTGGGTTTTCATGTGTGCAAGTGAGACTTAAGGCCGTGGTGGCCTTCTTGCGTGCCATGGAGGGAAGGCCCTAGGCCCAAGCGCAGGCGGAGCGCAGGCGGAGTGCCCGGCGGAGTCCGAGAGACTCGAGAGACGAGCTCTGTCAGCCAGAGCTGTCACAGCCGACTCTTGAGGCTGAGGCCGGGGCCCATGTGACCTTTCCTTGAACGAGGAAGACTCGCAAGGCCCACCCCGCGCGCGCTGCGAGCCCGTGTGAGTCGGGCTTTCGAAAAGAGCGACTACCAGGGATTCTAAGATCTGAGCAGCGTGGCTGCACTCCATGTGTGCTTTGATTGCGGCGAGCTTCGTAGCTTTTTGGCCTTCAATATCGAGAATCAACCGTGACAGCTGCTGGAGTCTTAGAGCTAGCTAGGTGTTTTTTCGTGTGATTGACACTTTTTTGGAAGAGCCCTTGCCATGGCTTTGGCTTATGATGAGATCGGAGCAGCCGCACCTGGGCGAAGCAAAAAGAGCTAAGCTGCTGCCTTTTTGAGCGAGGGTAGCGAAGAACAAATCCTGAGGTACAGAAGCGGACCTCTGGCTATTCAGCCGCCCCCCATGATGCCTCGGCGGGCATCCCGAGCGCCCCAGCGGGCGCCCCGAGTGCCGCGTCCGATGGCGACCTTGACCGGAAGTTTCAACTCTTGCGGAGCGTGGGTGAGGAGTGCCGCCAGGCAGCAGGGGCGTCTCTGCCGGAGTGGAACACTGAGAGCCCAATCAAAGGTCAGACTGAGGCAGAGCTGCGCGAGCTGCTTGCGCCACTGGTTTGGGCTCACTCTGTCGTGACACAGTCAGCGCAGCATGTTTTTCTGACATCACCGGCCTGTGTCTCAGGAGAAAAAAGGAGTTCATCCTCTACGATGGATTCGAGCCGTCGGGGCGGATGCACATTGCACAGGGCCTGTTCAAAGCCATTAATGTGAGAAGCCTCAGAAATTAGGAGAGGGTGCATATTCATATCGCACGGCATATCGCCGCTGTCACAGCCTTAGGTGAACAAGTGTACAGAAGCCGGCGGCATTTTCAAGTTTTACGTTGCCGATTGGTTTGGGCTGATGAATGACAAGATGGGGGGAGACCTCAAGAAGATCCAGGCCAGGCCGCTCCGGCCGGAAGCTTCGGATACGGCTATTTTTGATGTAGTAGTGCATGCTTCTAACAGGTTTTAAACACTTTAAACATGAATCGCATCTCATCGAACTTCACAGAGGCCTGGAGGTCTGCAGTGGCGAACAAGACTCGAAGGACGCACGCACAGGCGCATACGCAGATGCAGCCAACGACACCGGCGAGGATTCACGCACCGAGGCGTGGAACGCAGCTCTCAGCTATGCACTTCGATGCGCTGCGCACATCTCGCAGGCTGCCCACCCGCCGCCCGCCCTCTCCCCCGCCCCGCGCGACTTTTGCACCAAATTGTCCTTTATATTTTTCTGATAAAGAGCGTCTCTCGTGTTTAGGCCTATGGTAGCTGACTTTTAGCTTGAATGCTTCGTGCCAGTGGCCGCGATGCGAAGCTCTTCTGGCGCGAAGGTGGTGAACCATGATCGGCAGAAGGCCTGCCATGATCGACAGAAACCAGCCAGCATACTCATGTGCATGTCGCGTAAAACCTTCTTTTGTCCGAAATTCGAAGCCATGGACCTCGTTCATGAACAGCACCGGCGAGCCATACCGGGGTCGTGAAGTTCTTCATTTTCCTAGGAAGTGTGCGTCATTGAAAAACTGTATTGCTGTAGCAAAATACAAGAACAGGAAAACACATAGGAGAAATGGCCACCCCTGCCCTCTTCCCGTTCGCTCCACTCCCCTCCTTCGCCCTGCCCTAGCCCTGCCTGCCTCCATACCTGCCCGTGGCCTTAGAAAGCTGCGACGCAAACGATTTCAAGGAAGCAAAAATTGAAGCCAGAAGCCCCCCAAATCAATCCGAGCAACCAGCCCGCCAGTTCAATCCGAATAACGAAGTAGCAACACCCACCAAATCAATCCCCACAAGTCAATTCGAGTAACTTGAGTGGCGAGTTATCGTGGTAGTGTTGCATTGGTTTTGCTGCTCTGTGTTTTTCCCTATTGTTCCCTGTGGTTTTGTTTTGAGACTGTTAGTTAATTGTTTTTCTTTAAAGTCGTACTGGCGTCTAGTTTAGATATTCCTTCGTTTCTGCAATCTGGCCGACCACGATTTGATTTACTAGCCTAGTTGTTGTCGACAGGACACAGGCATGTACTTTGTGCATGTCTGGAAATCCTGCGGCATGAAGATGGAAAACGTTCGCTTCGTCTGGACGTCACAGTTCATCGAAGAGAACGCCACCGAGCCTCTTGGCAGCGCTCAGAGAGGTGAAGAGAAGTGAAGAGAGAGAGAGAGAGAGAGAGAGAGAGAGAGGGAGGGGCGCTCCGGCTGCACAAAACCGCTTCTGCCGCAATGCCTGGGCCTAGCTGAAAGGTATTGGACGAAGATGTTGGACATCAGCCGGGTCACCTCTTTGGTTCGCGTCAAGAGGCGGCGGAATCATGCCCTGTGCGTTTTGCTGGCCGTCCAGTCTCCTTGGAGGTGTTGCACCATTATGGGCCGTGAAGAGGGAAACCTCACAGCAGCGCAGATCCTCTACCCGCTGATGCAGTGCACAGACTCTGGGATTTTCTCAATCCGGGTTCCGGATCCCCTGCAACGGCCGTCACATCTGTAGCTCGCTGTATCTTGGGGCCCTTTCTGGGGCCTCCGCAGTCCAGGGGAGCTCACGCATCGTCTAGCTGTCGAACTCTGGCACTGTGATGCAGCTCTTCAAGGGCATATCCGTACTCTCTACTCCCTCTCGGTCTCTCTACTTTCGTCTACTCTCTCGACTCCAGTCTCTCGTCACTGCCTTCGGCTAAGCTTCGTTAGGACATCTTTTTGCTTCGGGCCGACATCTGCCAACTGGGCTTGGACCAGCGCAAGGCGCCTCGGCAACTGCGACACTGCGACAGCTGGCCAGAGCGCGATTCAGTGCAACTCCTGGCAAGGTGAACATGCAGGCACGCGAGTACTGCAGCTCCGTTGGCATCAAGCACAAGCCGATCATCCTGTCGCACCACATGATGTGGCCATCTAAGCAGCGAAGGGCCAGGGAAGCGCAGGGACCGAGTTGACATGTCGTCAAGGATGGGCTTGAAAGCAGGGCAGGCCAAGATGTCCAAGAGCGATCCAGACTCCGCGGTCTTCATGGAGGCGGGACCCCGCCCCGAATCCGGCGCGAATCTCCCGGCGAGTTTCGGCCCGGCCGCAGCAGCCGCCGAGGACACCCCCGAGGACGTGAGGAGGAAGATCACCAACGCGGCCTGCCCACGCCCCTTGGACTCCGTCGCGCGGAGCTCCCCGCCCTCGGCAGACTGAGCGCTGCGCTGTCTCCGAGGTGAGAAGGAGCCCAGGACGTCGAAGCAGAGCGAGTTGACAGGCGAGGTCGACGGGGACAGCGATGGCATGGTCCTCAACAACCCGGTGATCGACTACATCCGCTCCTTGGTTCCAGTCCATGTCTTGCACGTGGTGATATCGGGCGCTTCCAAGCTAAGCCGAGGATACTTGGTCCTAGCCGCTTGGCCGAGGCTGTAGAGGATGGCATTGCATGATCTCAGCTAAGGAGAATGCCAAGGGCCGAGGGACCATCACGGTTGATGGACGTACTTACGACGAGGCGCATCTTTCATTTCTGCATGTTCGCAGCATGTGCGCTGCCTGTGACGTGCACAGGCCGACAGCTTGGAAAGTGACTTTGTGGCAGGGAAGATCTCGGAGAAGGGCCTTAAAGAGGCCTGCATCGAGAAGCTGCGCCAAAGCTGCAAGGATGGAAAGCCCAGCCTCAGCAGGTGCTGGCTTGTGCTTCTTTTGCGCTGAAAGGAACGGCATCATGGAGGGCTGCCGCCAGCACTTTGCAAAGGCCCCGCGAGCAGAGCCGAAAAGAGCCGCGGCATGTTGCGGCCTCCCTCAACACCTCCATTCCATATTGTTAGGACAAGGAGGCCTCGGACTTGGTGGCCCTTGTGGAGCAGCACAAAGTCGCAGTCCAGAAAGAGAAGGACCAGGGTCAGGCCTGACCGCTGAGCTCTTGCCTGCGCTCACCAGCGCTGCCGAGCCTCTGAGGTGCGGCCGACGCCGCTCCGCAGCCTGCGCCTGGCAGAGGCCCCCCGAATCCCCGACATGCTCTTGCCCTCTCTCTCTCTCTCTCTCTCTCTCTCTCTCTCTCTCTTTCAGGAGGGCGTGCAAAGTCTGGGCGTGGTCTTCGCTCCGCGCCCGGGCTCGGACCTGGGCGTCACGGCGGAGGCGGTGCTGGCGACGCTCTCGTGCTTGGTCCGGGCCAAGCAGGGCAGGCGCGCGGGGCTTTCAGGTGCGGCTGGGGTTCTTGGAGGGTGCGCCTGCTCCGCGTCGCTCCGGCGAGGCATGCGAAGCTGGTACTCTGGTGCGAGGACTGGTCCTGCATCGCCCTGGACAAGATGCAAGGGGACCTCAAGGCAAGTCTCAAGCTCCTAAGCAGAACACCAAGGTGCCAAGAATCGGCATGCTGGATCCACAGTGCAGGCCATTGGCGCCTACTACGGCATTCTGGCAGATGCTGTGAAAGGCCTGGCGAAGCAAGCGCAGGTCGAGTTCGAGGCTTCCGGGCTTCCCTAGCGGCGCTTTAAGCGGCCACTTGCAGATTGCATATCTTGCAGACCTTGCAGATCTTGCAGGTGAAGGTCCAGTCAACGGAGATTCTCCGCGATCCGAACATGTACTGGAGCCTCGACTCACTACGTAGAGAAAGGACTAAAGGAAAGCGTGGTTTAACCGCGGATCAAGGATCAGCGTCATCGATGCCGGGCGACGGAAGCGGAAGGGAAAAAGCGGCGAGGAGCCGGTGATCGGCCTCGAGGAGGCGCGCGAACACTGCCCGCCGGCCTGCGCCGCCCTCGCCGCCCTCGCCGCCCTCGCCTCTCCTTTTCTCTCTTCCCTGTTTTGGGGTCGTGTTGCGCTCGCCAGGTGGCTGGGCATTTGCCCGAAGGCGAAGCCTTGACTGAGAGCGGGCAAGTCGTTGCCGCTCGTTTCCGA